CCCCAAAACCCCAAAACCCCAAAACCCCAAAACCCCTCTTAATTATTATAAAAACATAAATATGAAGAAAGGGAAAACGAAGAGATCGAAAACTCTGAAAAGAGGGAAAACTAAGGGGATTGAGACTCCTGAACGCTCCAATTCTGGTGTCACTGTGCTAACTAATACTAAATAGCGCAATCTCTCGTGGGCCAGATCCCATCTCTAAAGGAGGAGAAAGCGTTAAGGTAGTTGTTAGAATCAGGCCAATGAACATGAAGGAACAGAAGCGTAGTGACCAATATATCGTAGAAGCTGTTGATGATAAGCACATTCAGTGCCAAGAAGCAAACAAAATGTACAGGTTCAATGCCTCTTTAGATGAAAGTAACCTCCAAGAAGATGTCTTTGACAAATGTGGAGTTCATGAGCTCATAGATGCAGCCTTGACAGGATACTCTGCCACTGTATTTGCTTATGGGCAGACTGGGAGTGGCAAAACCTACACAATGGCAGGAATTGAAGATAAGCTAGGGAACAAAGAATGGGTACCAGATAATAATGACGGACTTATCCCCAGAAGTATTCGATATATGTGGGAAAGGATGACCAATAGGAAAGAACAATTTTACGTCAAAGCTGCCTTTATGGAAATTTATAATGAACAACTTCGAGATCTCCTAAATCCCTCTACAGGAATTCTCCAATGTAGATGGAGTGCAAAAAGTGGATTCTTTGTGGAAGACTTAATGGTAGTGGAATGCACCTCTCCAGATGATCTAATTTCAGTCCTTCATGAAGGGATGAAGAACCGTAAATCAGGTTCCCATGAACTTAATCCCGACAGTTCAAGATCTCATTCAATTCTCATTATCTACCTTATTTCTGAGACAGTTGCTGATGATGGGCATATTTTTAAGAAGTATGGTAAAATATCGTTCGTAGATCTAGCAGGATCAGAAAGACTTAAGGAAACTAAATCAAAAGGAGTTATGCTTAAAGAGACAGGAAACATCAACAAATCTCTCTTTACACTTGGAAAAGTAATCTCCTGTCTTGCTGATTCCAAGAAAAAGAAGAGCGATAAGCATGTCCCATACAGAGACTCGAAGTTAACCATGCTTCTGATGGATTCACTTGGAGGAAAGTCTAAAGCTCTCATGATTGCATGAATATCTCCCTCCAGTGCTTACCTTGAAGAGACATTGAGTACATTGAATTATGCCACAAGAACAATGAATATTAAGAACAAGCCTATTATTCAGATGGACAAGCTCGAACAGGACATCTATAATTTAAAGGAAGAAGCCCAGAGACTAAGACTAGAGAATGAATGGCTGACAAAAGAAATCAAATCTCGCAATGGAGGCAAACCAATTGAAATCCCTAAGCAACTAGCCAGCATTAATCTCCCACCTATCAAGGGTAGAGATGCTTTCCAAGTCGAAATAGGAGGTGGACCTAGGAGTGAAATGATACCTGGAGGAGGAGGCTTTGAAGGACTCTCCAAGCCTCTCTCTGCCCAAAGTAACATGAGTGGAAGAAGAGCAGCTGCTGCAACTGATTTTGGAGGAGAGTTTTCAGGTCAACTAATGATGCAAGAATTTGATCTCGAAGTTATACGCCTCAAGCAAGAAAATCATCAACTTAGATATCAAAAAGAACTTACTAAAAGAGATTATGAAAATGTTCTCTTTGAAAATAATACTCTGAACTCAAAGCTAGAGAATCTAGAAAATGTTTTCATTGGGTCTGCAATACAGAGAAATCCAGCAAAGTCTAAATCTAACCTCTCTTCAGATTATGCAACATCTACTCTCATGCTTGAGAACCAAAAGTTGAAAAAGAAGCTAGAGCATGTTGAACATGAGAGGCTTGAACTCTCAAGAACAGTGCAATCATTCCAAGAGAAAGCACCCCCTATCCATAGTAAGGCATTTGACACAGTGAAGGAAGAGAAGGAAATCAAGAAGCTTCAAAGGCAGCTGGATTTCTTTAAGAAACAAGAAAAGGACTTACTGGCGCAGTTAAATAAACCTCTTTAGAGAATTCGTATATCAGTTTCAATACATTTTGTTACAAGAGGGGTTTTGGGGTTTTGGGGTTTTGGGGTTTTGGGGTTTTGGGG